GAAGAATGGAGTTTGAATGGGGAAAGCAGAATTCGGTATCGCACGAGAATTTTCTACCGGAAGACAGGCCATATCTAACTACAAAAACACAGTTTTCAAGATCGAGCAATATGCATACATTGATTTGGAGCATAAGTTCGCACCATTTTAAAGATAGAAATATAATGTTACATCATGTACAATGCAATGTAAATATATAATTATTTGTTTAGCAGTATACAGGTTTGGCCAAAACATAATAATCCTATTTATATCCATCAAAATGTTTCATCATATTTTTTTAGTATTGAACATCATATCCTTGTTTTTGAAAATGATTTTCGTTTCCTGATGTATTTTAGAAATTTAAAATAAATTATAAAAACGTAAAAGCTGTTTGTGTGCAATTCTTTCTGCCCAATTCACAAAACAGCGTCTACCAGTCCTCCTAAATAAGCAAAAATATGCATATCTTGTGCTGCATATAATCTTAAAGGATGCCAAATATACCGATCTTGACTCAATATATGCTAATGTATATAGTTAGTTTATATTCTCGTACATGTCTCAATATAATCACATGCTGCATATCACTTATCTCAAAATATGCAGGAATACTCATGAAAAATGGCATATATGCAGATCATACGCAAATATAACCAGTGACAATTTCTATATATCTAGTATGCTCAACTGCTTATATTTGTCTATCCCAAATAAGCAGGTATATGCAGTTTCTGCGCTGCATATAATCACAAGTAAACAGCAAATATGCAAAGTATGTCTGAATATAAGCAAATATACTCAGTGACAGTACCCGTATATTCAGTCAGTATTCTCTGTGGTTGTTTGTTATATGCAGCTGCATATATTTGTGTTCCATATATGCAGTTATTGTCTGCGTTCTGTCAGTGACGATTACTGTTTATAACATGCTATTCGAAGCAAATAAACACCAGAATTGCTCGTTATTTGCAAGCAATATTCGTTTTTTTATACAGTGTCATTTACTAATTAGTTTTTTGTGTAAATATGAAGAGTCCAAGCATTGCTTTTTTATGTTTATTGTATAGCTATATTTAGCCTTGATATCCATGATTTTTTAAAACAAAATCTCACCGTTAGATTTCGAGCTATTCATGTTTACTCATTTTTCTAATTGGAAAACAATGCAAATCTCATTTTTTCAAAAGAAAAACATTATATTCTAAGACGGTGAAAAATCATTAAAAAATACACAGATTCAGAATCCGGCAAGCATTTTCCCTTAATCTTCTCCGTTAAGAAGTTTTGTAAGGTGTTGGGTCCCTTTAAGCTGCATATATAAACAGTACTTTGCAGTAAACGTACTACTGGATGAACTAAGGTCATACAGTATACTTACCCCTTGCAAATTGTAATTTATTGAATTCACAGTAAACCCATCAATTTTTAAGAAAACAAAGAATATTGTTCTCATGTATATATATCTATGTCATCTGTCTATACATGCGCGTATAGTGATACATGTGAACAAGATGGTTCTGGAAAGAAATGAGCGTGGCAGATTTGCTAAAAAGCCACATACACCACAGAAGCAAGACCAATTTGAAAGTAAGTTCATTATTCTCAAGGGTCCACTTCAAGTGATAGCTACATTGCTACTGGGTGGCCTATCATTCTGAGACAAATGTATTATCCAACGATTGTGATTTTCGAAGCTAAAATATGATACTAGTATCTTCATAATGTATCTTGAGCAGATGGAAATACATTCCCATGAGATATTGTATATATAGTAAGCCAAAGGTCCATGTAGATTAGCACAGAAGTTTTACTTTTGTATCAGCACCATTTTTGCATTATCATTTCAGATATTACTTGTAGAATTTTGATGCAATGAGGATTCTTCGTTACAGATGACTTTGCACCATGCAATCTCTCCAAATATCTTTATAAAAAAAGATTGCGTGATGTAGTATTGTCCGCAACAAAAATATCCTTTTGTGTAGAAATTCTAAAATTAAATTCTGAAATGGTGATGCAAATCTCGCTCAGATTTTTGGCTGATATGGAATCAGATACAGGATTCAATAAGTGATTTTCCTGATATGGGATTTTCAATAGCTTTTATATATTACTGTTAATCCCCTGGAAAACTGTTATAATGGAATAAAAAGATTAATATCCCTCAGCAAAATGAAATATTGCATTAAAATTGTATTAGATGTGGCTTACATATACATACCATATTAAAGGAATATTCCTTGCCAGACCCTTTCTCTCTTGATATGGTAGCTATAATCATATATATAGTTTCCATATATAGCAAAACATGGGAAAATGTTTTAATATGGTCAATATTGATCATTTAAAAATCTAGTGCTTATTTCCAGTGAGCTGCCATCTTTTAAGATTTCTTGCAGGAAGTGATGTCATCAACTCTCAACTTCTATAACCTTGCCCATAACAGTATAGGAAAGTAGCACAAAATCACTTCTAGACAAGTGATCATTACTTTCTGTGCAAAAATATTTTCAGGGCTTGTCAACTTAGAATAAAAGAAGAGATTTTCAGAAGGATTAAATAAGATACAAAGTTGAAAAAGAATATTTAGCTGGTTTTGTAATTCTTAATAGCTCCTCGCCTAATGCTATATGCAAAGTTGAGAGTCGATGACATCACTTCCTGTGTGAAATTTTAAAAGATGGCAGCTTACTGGAATTGAGCATCATATTTCTAAGTGATCAAAGGTACAGTCTTATTGGGATCCCTTTAAGGACTTAGAAAATTTCATGAAAACGCAATTATAGATTTTTGAAAAAAAAAGTTCAAAATATTCTTGACTGATATGTGTATTTTCATTTTCTTGAAAAATATAGTGAATATTTCTGTAAAAAATATGATTTTTGGCCCATTTCTGTAACCACTCCCATCATGGCAGATTATTTGTGAAATTTAGTGTTCTTTAGAAAATGTAGTAAATAAAGCCTTAAAAACAATTTTCAAGTATTATTTAAGTGAATTATGCATAATGTAATCCCTACTGAAATGTATCCAGCAGATTTATGTGTGATGATGCATGATATGTGGCATAAAAAGGGATTATAATCCAGACCCCCATTATTTACCATTCTCAATTGAATAGAACCATGGTTCATTGAAAGGACAAATTCACTGTGAGCTATGTTCTCCACCACTTTTATTTTTAGCTGTGCAGATCTAAAATTGAATTAGGCAACATTTTCAGTTGCAAAAAAAGTGGTGGAGAACATAGCTCATATAGTTTTTTGGACTTCTTTGGTATTTTTTCTAAACATTTCTGCCACCATTTTGGATACAATGCCACCTATTTGGGAGTTGCCAGACATGAAGGCTATCAGTTTTCAAAAGATTTCCTAGGTGACTCTCTCCATGATGCCAAAGACTTGCCTTTATCCGAGGATAGTGATACTGACATGGAATAGTTTTAAAATAACAAAAATATTTGTTAGGGGTTGGGTCAAAATATCGATGTCAATTGAAAAACGTAATTTTTTTCATTAGGGGAGGGGGTCAAACACTAATTCCATTAGGTGACGGATATCGATTTTCGTTTTCCTAGGAATTTCAATTTTCAAGATTTTTGGTTTTGTTACAAGGGGGAGGGGGGGGGGTGGTTTAGACCCAAATAAATTAATTACGCTTTTTTTTGATGGACATCAATATTTTGACCCGACCCCTTTGAAACTATACATTCAACTTTCAGCAACTGTACGTATTGGTACCAATAGAAATTCAATAAATACTATAATATGTTGTATCAAAGCTTTAGAATATTAATATCAAATATATTACAATACAATATTTTGACAGTATACAAGTACATGTGTTTTGACTAAAAAATTTTCAAACATTTTCCTTGTGTTAAGTATGGTGTGTTTAAGGAAATTACTTGATCATTAGATTGATTTTACCAACTTGACCTTTTTTGCACCCAGTGACCTTATTGGCTCATCATTTGACCTAATTTTGAAATATTATTGTGAAGTACATTTGTGAGGATACTCTAGATGCAAAATAAGTTTGATTCTGATGGGGGCAGAAAAGGGGGTCTGTTGGGACGGTACCTTTGACCATATCAAAACATTTTTGCGTGTTTTGCTAAACATGGCAAGCATATATATGGTTATAGCTACCATATGAGGAGAGAGATGGTTTGGCAAGGAATATTCCTTTAACATCATAGAATATTATTCTGTATTTTGGGTTTTTCTGATGTTGCCCAATGTGCTCGCTCAACGTTGACTGTGGCAAGTCAATAGTAAAGCTATGGGTCATCTTTATAACAAAAATGAAATATTTTTAAATTAATTTTTATGTGTGTCATTGATCCTAATCCACACTGTAGTCTGGTGTTCAGTAGAGCATTGCACCTCGTACAACGAGCTATTCATGTTTACTCATTTTTCTAATTGGAAAACAATGCAAATCTCATTTTTCAAAGGAAAAAATTGAAATTCTAAGACGGTGAAAAATCATTAAATAATACACAGATTCAGAATCCGGCAAGCATTTTCCTTATTCCTCTCCATTAAGAAGTTTTGTAAGGTGGTGGGTTTCTTTAAACCAGTCATAAAACATCTAAAAATTTAACGCATCGTCAATTTAATGGTCATCTTTTGAATGGTAACAATATAGTTCGAAAAACATATATATACTTTCATCTATATTGTTTTAGAAAACACATCAAACACTTGTTTTATTCTTGGTATCATGTTTCCAGAGTGAAATGAACCATCTTTCCGAACCTTATTGGAACAAATCGGCATAAACACAACATGTTTAGGTCTCTCAATACTAGTATTGTAATTGTACAAAAAAATATTGGTTGATTTTAAAAAAGTATCTTGTTAATGAAATAAAAGGTTTATCTTGATTTTTATCTATTTTGGGGGGATTTTGTTTTAATTTTTTGAATACTTTTTTAAAATGAACCAAAAATTCCTTTGTATAACTATAATATTGAGGTCTAAAAACATGTTGTATTGTTGTTGTATTGTTGTCATGGATAGTTATCATGCCCAGTCTAGAGAGGAAATATTAGATTATGCCAGGGATAATTCCGGAATGAGTAATGAGCAATTTAGTCTCGGATTGTTCAGTTCCTTAGAGAAAAAATATTATTGGCGGGTGTGGTTTGTTTTAATTTACAATCCGATAACTGGCTCAAATAAAAATCGTATGAACGTATGTGGCGGACATATATTTCTTCGACAAAACGGACGTAGCATCGTGGTCGCGAGCAAGGACAAGAAGCAACAGGAGATGGATCTGAATAACGCAAAGAGAGAATTGCAAAAGTTTTCACTCGAAGTTATTCGATTGCATAATAATTTCGAGTTTCTGGTGGAGGTTTACTATAATGGCCAGAGTAGAATATCCAACATATACAATGCTGAAGAATATTTTAACAAAGCTGATAAAACAAGTTCCTGTAGCTTTGCTGTCGTGGAGAAGGACGCTAATGTATTTTACAAAGCCAGTGAGAACAGAGTAGCATACCGTGAATTTTTTGCATTTAAATTGTTCATGTTTGGTTAAACCATGGCATGAATTAGGCGACGGCCATAAACAATTTTAGAGTACTGAATTTAGAGAATTTATGACTTGAAATTAAACAGTGTAAAGTTCTAAAGACTGGAACTTTAATGACGAGAATCTCAGAATTATTATAATCAAAGATCCCTTTGATATGATGTACTGTTTTATCTTTTGGTTACTTTGTTTATTAGTATATTACGTTAATAAATATATAAGCGCAAATGCCAAAGAGAAGAGTGACTAAAACTTTAAAAAAAAAAAAAGAAAAGCAAACTGTAAGTGTAACGTGAAAAGAAACAACCAGAACACCAAGGGACATTTCATTCATACTGAAGTCATTACAATACATGTGAAGAAAAATTGAAAAAATTGATAGCTAATACTCATAACATCAAAAATAGTTGTAGATACTAGACTAGTAGTTAGGTTCCGATCCCTATTTCTCAACCATTAATGCCATAGCCGGGATCCACCTCAAAAAGTGCCAATTTATTATACCATTCCTACATCCTTTAGCATCTCAAGTGGTAAAACTTGAAATTTCGAAATTAATGACTCACAATTGTACTTTTCAGCAAAGCCCAGAAAAGATTTCTTAAGTTTTTTACAAGTATAACCTTGACCTAACAGCTTGGTCACTAAAGTATGGTGTCTTGATTTGAAATCTAGATATTTTGAACACGCCCTGCTATATCTAATAAACTGGAATACTTAAACCCCATATGCTGGGTTTAGTGGAATAAAAAGCAGTAAAATTTGCTTCTGAAAAATATGGCAGCCATTTTATGTGTGTCTCTTTACATCTTTCGCAATGTAATAACTGCTAAGAGAGGTTGTGTTGATATTTTATACAAATATGCCCCATAGGCATACGCCGATTTGTAGTTTTTGAAAAAAAAATTCGGCCATTTTATGTGTGTCAACTCGACAGCCCCAAAACCGCCATACCTCGCCAGCATTTCCCCGAGTTTAACCAGAAATCGGCAACTCCAAGAAGTGGCACACCCCAAGGATCACTAGGCCAGGATACAGCATGGGTTTTGGGAAGTTCAAGGGCCACTTGATAGACATAATGTTTCTGAAAGATGACTTCATTCAGCATCAATTCATATATGTCTGGGTCTTTTTAATTTGTGGACGAAGGATTCTGAGCAGTTTCACCCCCCTAGAATAATATTTCAGGGGGGTACTATATTATCATTCTATAAAATCAGTTATGCATTAAGTATAGCACTGATTTATACATATTATGTTGCTAGCACTGTAGTCAAGTGTTTCCCAAAGCTATAGGGAGATATGTTGATCGGTTTTGACAAAAACACAATTTATAGTAATAAATAAGCATATTTTCATTCGTTTTTTAGTCTCGCCAACTTTATTGTTGCAGCTTCAGAGAAATAATTGGCACCAATACTGCTTTAAGAAGTAATCTAAAATTATTTCCAATCTATGTGGGGAATTGTAATATAAAGAATGTAATGATACAATACTATTTGGAATTTTAAATATGGCTTTGTTAACCCCTACCTCTAAAAATATGAGAAAGTGAAAGTGGCACAATTAGATCAGAAATTCTATAATGAGTACTAATACTTCTCCAAGTAGCATTTTAAAAATGTATGTGTGATATATAGAGGTAATATAATGGGAGGGATGGAATATGAATTTTATTCTGAGGGAAAATATGATATTGGCCAAGGAAAACATCATATTGATTGAGGGCAATAGCCCGAGTGATAATATGATAGTTCTCGAGGCGAATAAAATAAATAAAATTCATATTCCACCAACACCATCAATAACCTATTTATTAAATTTTTTTCTGAAACATAAAAAT